ATAATAATAACCATCATCGCAATCATTACCATTATCATCATAATGATTTTTTAAAAAAATCACTGGGAGAGGTTTTACACAGCTACAATATAATTTTCAAATGAAAAATTGAAAAAAAAAATGACTTAACGTAAGTTTGAGTTATAAAATATCAGTAACATTTAGTTACGTATTGTGCGTGCATTGTTAGCTTATCTAAACAATACTTTTTTCCGGATTGAGCCAGATTGCGTGTTCAAGCAAGAGTAGTCATAGAGGAGTCATGTTTCTCCTCTTTGGTGGATAGGTAAGGATAGTTTAGGGATAGTCTATGACGTCACTCATTGTTTTGACCTAGGGAAAAATGCGTTTCTCCATGCTAATTAAGTGCCTAGTCAGTGCCTCGCTAGCTAGGTAAAAATGCGTTCCTCCATCCAATAACTGTCTTCCTGCATACTAATTCGGTATAGGTTTACTAATGAGCGTTTCTCGACTGCAATAGGCACAATAGGCTCGCCTAGACTTGCCCGTTAAGTAACTTGAGCCCGGTTTACTGGAACTTCTCTTAACAGGAAAATAGGAGCCATCACCTAGCAACGCGAGAAACGGCTTATGTCTTCTTAAAGCCCCTAGGTTTTGCCACATCTCACCCCTTCTTCGTGGTCTGCATTGGCTTCCTGTTAAAGCCAGGATACAATTTAAGATACTGCTTATTACCTTCAAGGTAATTCGCGGCCTTGCTCCTAAATATCTTATGCGATTTACTAACATTTAAATCGTCCTTATATAACCTTAGATCTTCAGGTAGTATTTTACTTTCTATGCCAGCTGTTCGATCGAAGACATTAGGTGATAGAGCTTTAAGGTAGCAGCGCCAACGCTCTGGAACTCTGTTCCAAGAGAACTTCGTGCGATTACTAATGTGAACAGTTTTAAGGCGCATATTAAGACTTATCTTTTTAGAACTTTATGTGATTGGTGAGCAAATTTATTTTCAGTTCTTACTTGCATGCATATATATTCTTTTTATTGTTATTTTATTTTATTGTTAAATGCGTTATCTTTTATTTGTTTCTTGTAAAGTAACACAGTTGTAATGCGCAGCTGATCATTCTCATGTTAAGCTGCGCACAATAAGTTCATAAATTATTATTTATTTATTATTAATTGGCCTTTGTACGAGTTGAGATTGTGTCTCCTGGAGCGAATGTATTGGTGAGGAATGAGGAAGTGAGGGTGAAGGGAGAAACACTGAAACGACCAGTGACCAAGTTGTGCTTATTAGAAGCAGTTAACGATGAATAGGAGATGAACTTTGAAGAACATTGTACGAACCTGAACGAATGTTCTGATTATCTGTTGTTGAATTTATGAACCCTCGTTTAACTGAGGGTTCATAGGAGCAGAAATATTATGAATTAAATCGGTTGCCCATGACAACGCATCCCCTGAATTCCCTTAGGATAGGTTTGACAAGCGAGCGGGTGATTTTAAAATTCAGTTTTCTCTTGCAGTCGTGAAGAACTGAAGATTTGTGAATGGAACTGGAAAAGGAGAGACAAATTCACGTTAGTGTAAGTAGGTGTTTTTCGAGATCTTTTTTTCTTCGGAGCGAATTTTTCATAGGATACTTGGTTTTTCCTTTTAGCGAGTCGATCTATCATGTATTGAAATGCCTCAAATCTATGTAGAAGAGAGAAGGGACCGAGCTGATATCGACACGTGAATAAAAGTTGAATTGAAAGTAAAGTGAAATCTGTCTAGTGAATACTCAAGAACCGCGAGCTGGCGACAACACCACTCTCTTGAACACAAACGCACCAGAAAATCATCAGGCGTCATAAACTAATTGAGAATTACTACCTGCTCCTGGGAGAACTGAAGAGAAGGAAGCTGTGAATCCTGTAAAGCTGTTGCCATGATCGGATTTAAAGACGATCGACAGCGTCTGCTGGCTTGAAAAGAAAGGCCCCGGCAAAACGCTACCACAAAACTTTCCAAGAGAAGTTTGTTTTGGTCCAGTGTAATCAAACACCTCTACATAGTCACATTTGCAGTCAATACAGTTCTCCAAGTGAAAGGTTTTGAATGAAAGTTGAACGTGCACATGGGAGCCTGGAATTGTTATCGTCCAGTTGCAACTAGTATTGTCTGGATATAGTAAAGAACCGTGTGGCTTAGGGCTTTTTAAATTCCCGGAACTGTTGGTGAAATGATAGATATCAGGGCACCCTGTTGAAAAAGACATAAAACAAAATGACCATGATTAAAGCTGCAGTTTTTTTGCTAGGCAAAAAAGTCCTTGTCCCGCTCACATACAGTAATAATAATAATAAAAGTTAAAAATCGTAATAATAAAATGTTAGCTAACAAATTTCAAAGACTAAAAACTTTGTTTTTTCCTTCAGTCACCTTTCTAGGGTTAATCCATAGTCTACTTCGTTTCACTGAGTGGTTATATAACACGACTTACAAAATCCTTTTTTTAAATACGAGTAACCTCAATAACATTGTTTTGTCTTGAAACTTACATTGTGTTGAAACGCTTTCCACTAGATAGAGAGCTGAAAAAAGAAACATACGAAGGAGGTAAAATTTCACAAATATTCTATACATAGTAAGCATTCCCGTGTATGCATATACGGGATAGACTGAACTAATAGTGACGGAGTAGTCAGCAAATTCCCTGGAATTCTCACAAGACTGAGACACTTTGCTCCCACTGGTACTTTACTTAGCATATCTAGCCAAATGTATGAAAACATGCCTCCAAAAGGCCCAGAATATTCGCACAGAAACCTGGAGATACCTAGGTTTCTGGTGGCTGCGGTGAAATCTTCATAGGGGGCTTGCTGTCTTGATTGGTCTCATCGTTAGGCTCAGTCCCTGAGTTAACTTGCCATGGGGTGGGAAGGGGCCTCCATGTATATCCCTAGAGGGAAGGGTGTCGCAAAAGCGTGGTATGGTCAGTTTGTCTCTTTGGAGAATCAGTTCACTGCTGATCGTGTGTGGCTGCGAGGCCGTGTCATTGCAACGAGGGGTGGGGGGGGGAAGTGGCGGATGTGGCCTTGAATTCTCTGCTTATGGCTAGCTTAAGTCTCAAGCTGTCGCTGTCATGTAAGATTTAAGTCAAGTTAGGCTGGGTGGCTTGGAGTTGTCAGCTGGTGCGGTTTTCATAAATTCAGCTACATATATAAATCTTTAATCCAGCTCTACACAACTTATGGTACTGCTGTATGGGACCTGGAAGCCGCTAAAACAAACTTGGACAATGTATTAATTGACTGAATTGAGCCAAACGCGCGCTTTGGTTAATTCACTTTGTTTCACACAGATCTCATGCGATACCGTTATTCAACCTATATGATATCCTCCCACTTAACTTTCAATACTGCAGGTCAGTTTGTACTATTATGCATGCCTTCAACTAACAATTGTTTGCCGGAAGCTATTTCGAACTTATTTATTGAACCTTCACAAGTGCATAGCTACAACAGTAGGTTTTCAGAGACTAGTGGTCTTTACATTAAATATTCCAGGACAAATAATTTAAAATATTCATTTTCTAGATTTGGTGCAAGAATTTGCAACAGTATTCCTCTAAGTATCAGAGTACCTCCTTAACACAAATTTAAACCTTCTTCACATCAGCTTCTTTTATATATTTTAGAATTGGAGGATACTTATATTGACACACCTACTTTAATTGATAAACTAGGCAAGATGATATGAAATGTAAAATAAGTTTGTCATTTTGTAACGCTGTACTGTAATAACTTCAGTCCATATTCTTGTGTCATTTATAAAGATCTATCTTCCTTTTCCTGTGTTCTGCTTAATTTCTCCCTAGTAAATTACTTTATGTTTTTCTCTGCCCGCCTCGATTAGCTAAGCTATTTGAGAGCAGAGGATGTTTGTGTTTTAATATGATTTAAGTTAATTTGTAACTTCTTTGAAGATTAATATTAAACTTCAAACTTCACTTCACTACTAAAGGCGGTTTCTTGATATAATTAGGTGCTTAAAACCCACCCATTAAATGTGTGTAAGGACTCTACAATTAGCGTAAAGGATAGACAGGGAATCTTTCCGACATATTTGGAGTATTAGATTGCTCCGTATGTTTTGGAAATATTTGTACCCGTTTAATTGCACAGGCAATCTAACGTGCGTAGGACCTTTTTGGAGACAATGATAGAAACAAGGAGGAAGTAGATGAAGAGGAATAAGCCGATAAAGCACCCGGAAGGGAGAGGGGCATGGAGCACGCTCAGACGAAGAATCACCGAAAAAGCGTCTAAAGTTCACTATGTCATCTTTCACCATCCAAGGGAGGCAGCAAAGAGGGAATCTGACGTTGAGTCAAGATAACTCTAGCTGCAGTTAAAGAGAAAGTAAGAAGAAGCTACCGTGGATATCCGCAAGCAATGCTAATTAAAAATAAACCCACTGTCAGATCAACAACAGCAGTTACAGCTGGTCATACAACAAAAGCAACTGCAGCAAGCAGCCAGCAAGGGAAACTGACACAAGCTAAGCTTTCTGAACTCTTACAAAAGGGGCAATAATTTTGATCCCATGAGTAGTTGTTGTTTTCCTTGTAAACTTGTAAACTTGTAAACTCAGGCTAATTTAACTTCTTTTTCTGAAATTTTTCTTATATAATTTATTTCAAGGAAGTTTTTGAGGTAAAAGATCTTCTGTGCGCCTTGAAAATTAGATCAGAGATGATGTTTTCATTATTGCACTCATATGTTTTGGACGTAATATATCACCGACGAGTGCAAGGGTTTCATCAGGGGTTCCAAACACCGAGAAACAGATGAAAGCACGAGGCCGTAGACCGAGTGCTTTTATTGTTTCGAGGTGATTGGAAACCCTGATGAAACCCGAAACACGAGTTTTTGATATGGCTTCTCAAAGCATCTTTTGTTGTATTGTTGTAATACATTTTTGTATTGTATACTATTGTTTACAAAATTAGTATCGAAATTATTCAAAGTTTGCCTGGTTGTGATGAGATGGATGCAAGTACAGCTAACTCCTGTTCTAGAGTTCCGAGAACAGTCAAAGAAGATCAGTCTGCTTTAGTCAGTGTAGCTAAACCTAGTGGCACGAAGAACAAACATAAGAGGATGGTGGAAATTCTTCGTGAATGGCAAAGGACGAGAACGTTGAAACCTCCGGATTTAGAAGTTGGAAACGTTTTCAAAGATTACGATTTTCACCTCGTGTGTTCTGTCTAGGAAAATCTGTTGCCTAGTCCAAATTTAACTTGCCAAATGTGCTTAACTCCTGCAACGCGTCACTTTATGCAGACGACACTGTAATTTATTGCTATGGTACATCCTCAAAGGAGTTGAGTGATAAGTTAAATAACGATCTACTGGGTGTGGCGAAATGGCTTCATGATCACAAACTGACTTTAAATTTGGACAAAACTAAATGCATGCTCATCGGTAGTAATAGGAAACGCGAAGGCAAAGTAGATTTGACTGTTTCAATTTTAGATCATAGTATAAGTAATGTTCGCAGCTTTAAATACCTCGGTATACATATATCTTCGGATTTCACATGGACTGATCATATTGAACACCTAACTGGGAAAATCAATCAGAGGCTTGGGCTTCTCAAGCGTATAAAGCATTTATTGCCTTTCAGGGCTCGTCTACTTTTCTATAAAAGTCTTGTTATGCCCCTTTTTGAATATGCTGATCTAGTATTGGGCGATAAACATAATATTACCCTTATGTCTAGTTTGCAAGTTTTGCAAAATAAGGCCGCTAAAGTTGTTTTAAATAGACCATTGTACTCATCCTCCACTGAGGCATTAGCCGTTCTCAAGTGGCTGCCTCTAGAGAAAAGGCGATTTCAAAGAAGGTGTGTACACGTATACAAATGCATCAATGGCCTAATTAATCACGATATGGACTTGATTAGACAAGACCTACTTCATAGGCATAATACACGTAACAAAGGCAATTTTAGATTACCACGTGTCAAAAGAAATTGGGGGAAGCAAAGAACACAATATCATGCCGTTTCCGATTTTAACTCCCTCAGTCAGACGATCAAAGACTCAAGGAATGTAAATAGTTTTAAACGTAATGTTTTTAAGTTTTTGATATGGCTACTTAAGTTTAATTTGTGCTTATATTTATTTTTAATTTTTTATGCATTTTTTGTATCTTTTTAATCCCTTTGCAATTTATAGCTTTTTTTTGTTTTTATAATATATATCTAGTTTTGAGGTCCTTTTTGAAAACCATATCTTTTATGAAAAAGTTTCCTCAATAAAGATGATTATTATTATTATTATTATTAGTCCCTAGGCCTCATTATTGTGCGCTGCCGATGCGTTTCGGGTCAAGTGGTCCGAGAAAGTTTCCCGGCCGTTCGTCTCGGATACGTCACCGAAATAAATTGACCGAGAAGACCTGAAAAGACGCCGTACAGGGACTAGTCAAGAAAAACTGGAGGACATGGATACTTTTATCGTTCAACTACTGGCTTGCTAAATTTATCCAGGAAGTCGCAAATAAGAAGGGCGGCCGCTGTCCTCCATGAACGTTGTATGGTATCGTATGTAGAAAGAGTAATGTAGTAAGTTGATGACAATAAACAGCAATATTGATATTTTTGGTTTTGGTATTGTAATTTTGATATGAACACACGTGTGTTTTGATATCAAAACACGGCGTGTTTTCATCTGGTGTTTCCACCTGACCAAAATAGTCGACATCATTTATTACCCGGTCACTTCATGAATTATCAATGAGTTTGAGAAATGCATTTGAATACTACTATTCGCTTGTCTTCTTTGTTGACCTTGATTTCCGGTGGTGCATTTCAAAACCGAAATTGCAAACATTCTGCCCAAGGAAACAACGCACTTCCCTATCCGCAGTGTGTGTCCCTACGGGCCTCTTGAATTATATAAAGCATTGAAATGCGAGGAGTTCAAAAAAGGTTTTTTTCAAAGAAGGCTAGATATTTTCTGTATGATAATTTCTCTCCGTCAAATCTATACGAAAAAGAATCATTTTTTATTCATTATTAAGCTCGCTTTTTGAAAAACCTTGTTCTGAAAAATGCAGACTGTATTCCCTTTTAGCAAAATTTGTTCTCAACTGTTTTACAGCAGCAACCATATATTATGAAGAAGAACCTGGAAATAGGATCTCGATGCTAAAAAGAAAAATCATAATGCAATATTCTGAGACAAATTGTTAGCGTAGAGCCATTTGTCATGAGCAGGAACTGAACACGTTGGTATATTGTTTGTTTTGGTAGTACAACTTGCCAATTAACAAGCCTTTGCCTGTTCTCTAGACAGTTCACCGCATATCCTTCAAGTTATGTATCGACTGAATTTAGATTTATCGGCTACTCTTGAATCAAAAGAACCTGCTATTAATAATGTTATCATTATTTTACAAACGAGAGCACTGGGATGGACTTTATATCGGCGTTTACTTTCATGTGCGATTGCTAGCACCGTATTAATCGTGGCTCAGTATTCGCTTTAAGGGAGATAAACTACTTTACTCAAGCAAAATCAGGGAATCAGTAAAAAAATATGAAAATATTTGCTTTCTACACTTGAATATAATGTTGTGTTAGTTGCGGTGTAAACTCGAACACACAGCACACCACCTTTTACCAGTACTTCATCACAACTCGGAGTTGGCAGGGCAGCTCAACCTAAGAAGCAATATTAAGTAGCCCCAATAGACAGGCGTACTTACCTATAAAATATATTATCATTGCAGTCGTAGGAATAAAATTTTTCCGAGTCCATTCATGATCAAAATTATACGAAGCATCGGGTTTGAGCCAAAGTTTCCTGCTTATTCGAAAAGTAGACATATAAAGTGTACGTCACGCAAAATCTTCATTCAGACTTGCTTATGCAAATCAACCAAACAAGGAAACACGTTGACAGGTGTTTTAACCACACCGCTCAGGCCATTGAAGAATTGAAACGGGGTCAATCGAACGGATCGACAAACACGTCAAATGTCAAAGGAATCAACAAGACTGGTTGATTTAAACGAAAAAAACTCTTGTCACTTGCCACGACCATTTTGCAGACGTTAAAAAGTTTTTTAAAAGCTGTGGGACAAATTGCTATGCAAAGTTATGAAGAAGATTGTTTCTGCAAAATGAAAATTGAATGAATGTCTGAGTTTATTTATAATGCACATTGACCGTGAGTAATACCTCAACGCACTATATATTTTTTGCGGGCTTCAATTTCTTTCTGACAGCACGATGTTTCCACAAAGAAAGTAGACTCTACCTTTTTAAGAAAGCAAAATCCTATTTGCCATTGCTTATCTTTACCGATACTGGTATATAGGGTTTGTTTTGAACTTAATTTTTCATATTCTCTTTTCAAGTATAATTCCTGGCTATAAAGAAATTATAGTAAGTTAAAGATTCATTTTATATCAAACACAACACGGCTAAACAAAACAAACAAAAAAGAAAATAAGACTTGTTGGACACTGAACGTCGCACTCAAGTTCAAAAGCCAATAAATTCCCGTCTTGTAAACTTTGCCAATTGTGTAGGAGGGTTAGCTGAAAAATGATAATGAGTATATCTTCGGAATCTATAAATTAAAATGCACTGAATTTTAATTTTCCCATGGATTCACCAGATTTTTTGTTTCCTTGAAGGATTCCTAAAAATGTAAAGGGGCATAAAGCTCCCTTTGTTAATTAGTGCAAATTCATTTTTGTTTAAAGGCTTATATTTTGTGTGAGTTCAGCTAAATCACCCATCATCTGCCAAGAAATAAAACTTAAGTTTATTCGAGCAGTCACGTGTCATTAATATACAATAAAAACGCAATAGGCCAAGGAGAGATCCTTGGGGAACACCGCAACTTACGTTGGCTATGTTTGATATGTGCGGTACCATCTGGGTCGATTGGATACGATTATTCAAATACGAGGAGAACCAGTCTTCTGATTTATAGTGCAGTGTGGTACTATGGGCAGTCATTGAATTCAAAATTCACCTCCAGCATAAAGAGGGATGCGAAATCTAACTCCCTCCAAACAATTATTTAAAACTATCCTTCTTGCCTTGACGGGTCTAGAACTAAAGGATCGATTTATGGAACTGAGATTTGAAATTTTCGGTTCTGCGTAACCCTGTCAAGAATATATCATCAAAACATCATTGTAATTTCCTGTTTTAGGGGCTCGGGAAGATCTGTAAACCATTTAGGAAATTTAACTTCTTTTCAAATTCTAACCTGCAACCTGCAAATTACACCCTCCGGAATGAATCTCGAATCGATCTAACATAGATAGCCTTAAGGTAACTTTTATGAAGTAATGCAGAACAGAGAATGCATTTTTTTCGAGTGAACACGTGATACAGAACGGAGAATCCACGAGCCGTGCGCGTGTTTGTGAGTCCCGTGCTCATCCCGTCTTCAACCAATCATCGGGTGGATTCATTTGTATCATTTGCATCATACGCGAATGGCTGTGGCATTAGCCTCCCACGCAGGCGTTTTTAGGGGAGCTCGTTTTTCATCCCTCCCCACAAACGCCTGCTCAGCCGGAAACATTCCTTTCCCATTGTTTTATTTGCGTGGTAAGCGACCAATAAACAGTTGTGCAATAAAGTGTTGACAGGCTAAACGCGACTGAAACGTGACCCTACAGTTACCGTTTTCGTTTTTTTCCTTCCTTCGTTAAGGTTATGAAGTGCATGGAGTATTCTAAAATTTGATTAAATCTTATTTTTGCCTCTCTGAATGTAACATTTATTGGAGGTTAGAAAATCTTTCCAGTGTTTCATGCAGATCGAGTAATTATCAGATTACCTTGCGGTCAATGTCAACTTTCCAGAATTTGGAAAGTACAATGTGATTGGCTAAGCATGGGAAAGGAATGTTGTCTTCCGTTGAGCAGGCGTTTTTGGGGAGGGATGAAAAACGAGCTCTCCTAAAAACGCCTGCGTGGGAGGCTACTGTCGCATGTGCCCGCTAGATGTTTTTTTATTGCCTGCCGCTAAGAAAAAATAGCAATTCCGCAAAATTTATTGTCTTTGAGGCAAAATAATTCGGAAGCCTTCATCGGCGTACCATGAATCTTTTTTTTCTTTTCTGAAAAGTGGACTTCCTAAGCCTTAAAAAAGCCGGACCAAATATGAATCCGTACGTTGAATATTCGTGGATGAATATGATTTTTCTAGGATTCTAAGTTCGCTTATAAGAACTCTAAATTTTACGTAAAATGACTTCTGCGCACCTTCAGACAAAAACACAAATTTCAATAGCTCGAAAAATATGCTATATAAAGTCGGGATTTCAAATTCTTTATGCAGTAGAACAGTCTAGTTCACTATGTTCAAGGTAATTTTCGCTTATGCAATCGAATTGCGTTCAAACTATTTTTCGATATTAGTCACATTTCTAAGCTAATTGAACAGCGTGCGCGTATAGGTAAAATCTTTGCTCCTTGGCACTTAGCGATAGCTATAACTAGTAATAAATTTATTCACATGAATCCTGAAAATTACAAAAACTGTTAGATCATGAAAAAGTTTTTGCTACATGCAATCACATATTCGGAAAAAAAACAGACGAAAAGGTCACGTCCTATGGCTTTGTGATTTTCACATTAATAGCGGTTTGCTAAAGTGAAACAGAATATCGCATCAATCAACGGCTGCTATCAACATGTAATTCCAGCTTCGAGTGTCAGGCATGCCAGGAAAAACAACACTCGAAAGTGGTTTATAAGAAAAAGAAATTGAATTTTTCCCCATTTTCCAATGCAACGAGTTTTTAAGGCAATATTTTTGTCTTTATTGACTATTACGGTCAGATATCCACCAAGCTGAACAAAGCAGATTAAACACCTTACATCACTACAGTCGTACAGCCTGGCTGTAAGCATACATGTATCCTGCAGCATTATCCACATAGGAGTAAATATTGGTGCTCAAAACCTCCATATCTTATTTTGTTCTATTTATGTAGGTTGAAACCGGCCTTATTATGTCATGTTATACTGAGTTATTGGGCCTTGTTTATTGTTCATTCCTCCTTTCGACTCCTTCTTAAACTACTTAAAAAAGATTCCATGGACCCGGTCCATAATAGGCGGTCCATGGATCCGGTCCAAAATGAGGGTTCCACGAACCCCAGTTCCATGTTTCGTCCTCACCCGGAGGGGAGCTTTGTGCGAAAGGTCTAGTGTAGCCGCACCTTATATATTGCCGCGGGCTAAGAGTCTATTGTTTTGCAATAAGAATGCTATAATAGACAAACGGATAGGGAACTGGATAATTTTCTCCCAATAGAGAATAATTTCAAGAAAGTTTGGCACATACATCGTTGATCCATGGAATAAGTATTGAGATAACATATCGTGATGGTTTCAATTTTATTTCACTTACTGACAGGCTTAATTTTACAAGCCAAAGAAGGCTGTCTAAAAGCAGCTATACATCTTGTTCATTTGACGAGCATCTCCGTTGCTCACTCTTTCTCTTTGACCAAACTCAATCTAAAACAAGAAAGGGTCTGTTAAGATCACTTTAATACATTCCCCGTTTTTCAAAAAGCACAGATGCTAGCTTCATGTGTATCTTGGATTTGACGGCCTAAGGAGTTGAACTCGGCAAGATAAACATCATATAATCACTCGAAACTCTTCGGAGACAGTCTGCAAGTCTATAGTGACAAAACTATTTTCTACGACTGATGGCAAAGAGCAGTGACACAGTTAAGTCTTCGCCCGCGACATCTTATGAGGCAAACACGATAGACCGATAATTCTTGTATATTCATAGCAAAATATTAGAAAACCAGGGAAAGGACCCGGAAAGGGGCAAGAGTGAATATTTTAATAAGAAATAAGTAGAAATTTACCAGAAAGTATTTAGTCTAGTTAAGCCTTACAGCTGTCTTACCCCTTTCTTCCGTGGAAGCAAGGTTGGTTTGCCATTTTTACTGAAGAAGGTTTTACCGTAATGCATGAGAGAATCGTAGTCATATGGTTCACCCTGCGAATCAATGTACTTAACTTTCATGAAGTTATATCCTCGACCTATAAGAAAATGGATACAATGATGTTACGCATCTCCATCTTCTCTATCTGGTAAACAGTATTTTGACAGAGTAAGGTAGGCAAGCTCCTTCTATTACCTAGAAAAAGCATCGTGGCATGAACTCCAATGCCGCGAGTGCACTATTTGAGTCCTTTTATGAGCTTTTATCACTTATTCAAAGCCGGAATTTCAAGTTTGTTTGAACAACGATTGATTATGTTCGCCGGAGTATCTGAGTCATTAAGCAAAATCTAAATACTACCCTTTTTACAAACGACAGATAAATTTAAATGTATTCTTTGAATTCTTGTAGGATAATTTCTGAGGTGGGTTACAAAAAATGTCTACTAAAATAGTTTCCTATATTACGTTATTTTAGGGGCACAATATTAGTTGACCTACGTAGATGTGCCCGTCTCCTTTCCATTCTTCATTCTTTCTTCTTTTTGTGACAAACTTATCTAAATATAATTATCTTAACTGGCCCCGGTTGTTCAAACGTTGGATAGCGCTATCCCCCGGATAAATAACTATCCAGCGGATAAGTATTACGGAAATTAATTACGCTATCCGCTGGATAGTGATTTATCCGGGGGATAGCGCTAACCAACGTTTGAACAACCGGGGCCTGTACTTTATCATGTATTGCAAACTTTCTAGGACTCAAGCTCTGAAGTTTGTCTGTAATTTATCTTTTACTATTTATAATGGAATGGAAAAAATAAAATGAAAAATGAAAATGAATTAAAAAAATATCTTTATTATCCCTCTAACGTGTGCTTGTATCTGCCTATCGTATTAATGTTCTAAAATTTTCATACGAAGTTTGCGAGGATATCAATAGGGTAAAAACAAAAGGGTGGGCGCTATCAAAATATATGGAAGTCGAAACCCCTGCATCTACCAGGCAATCTGCAAGTGGAAAGAAATCTAAGGATGACCTTGTTGGATGTTATACCACAACACTCGCACAAATTTGTCCCGATCAGGCCGTGACTGCTCGTGAAAGAAGCCAAGAGCATGACCTGCAGAAAAAAAAACAACAACAACAAGCCGTTTAAAGTTAAAAATAAATGTTGTAAGGAGCTAGCTGTTAAGGTCTTAATTTCCTACTGTAGATGGGACCGCCATTTCTAAGCGGTCAACAGAGCCACGCGTAGGTCTGGCTGTTTGCGGAGCAAAGCCAGTACCGTCATTTCTAAGTTTAAGACCCTGAGTATTGGTCCAGTCCAGGGGATCAAACCTGCGACCTCCCGCTCTGCAGTTAAGCCCTCTTTCAACGATATACAAGGGCTTCATAGTAACCTAGTAGCACTGTACTTTCTGTTAGTTCTTTTATTTTTCAACGCCAAAATTTCAAGTTCTTTTACTTGAAATCGGTACAACGAATGACTATGTTCGAGTAGCCACATAAGATGAAAACTTGGGCTTAATAATAATAAATAATAATGATACATTTATAGTGCCCAATTTTCCATAAAAATGTTCAAATGCGCATGACAGTTAATAATACTTGGTAAGTTCCTCAGTCATTTCTTTGAGCATAAATAATCAGTCTTTGTACGTATGCTTCCCACCTATTTCATGAGCCACAGTTCCCATGTGCCAACAACCTGTAGCAAGATTAACGTACTGTTGTCTTCCTTGATATCCAACATCGGCTGAGCAGCTATTAAAAAATGGAAAAATAAATAATATTGCAATAAAATAAGCTGGAAACACAAGGAAACATGCGTTATGAAATAAAATCGTGTGAAGTTCATTCCGAAGTGTCAGCCCAGTTGCCAGAGCGTTCAGTTCAAATGATAGTTTTGACTCCTTTAACTTAATAGTTCAATTGGAAGCCGTACATTTAGGTGTCCAATGATGGACTATTTGATTTGTGCTTCAGCTGATGAAGTAGTTTAGTTCTCGTTATGATCACGTCCGATTTGTCATAATGCGGTTACCTGCTGCAAAATTTACTGAATTAGCCGAAATTGTTTTTTTTTCTAGAAAAGCACTTATAGAGAGAAGCAAGCAAGCCAAAACTAATACCGTTTAGGCATTTAGCTCAAGAGCGCGAGTTCCAAGATAAACCCAATCGATGGCACTTAAATAAAAGGAAAATCAAGAAAAATTTGAATGAAAAGAATGAATGAAACAACGGACTTCATGAAACCCGAAGTCCAATTACAACTTCTTACACCTTCACTTATCGACTTGATGGAAGGCTATAAAGCGCGGTAAAATGATTAACTATAAGGAAAATGCACTGTGATTGGGCCAATCACAAAGCCATTGCTCATGCAATTCACTTATTTTAACGTTTCAGTATTGTATGTACCTCGCTTATAGATCTCACGAGCATAACAAGCAGTTCAAGATATGCGACCAAGTCTGAGAATATCTTTAAATTAGACTGATACCAGGGGCGTAGCCAGCCCATACACCTGTAGGCCCGCGCCTACAAATGTTTGGTTTGATCACTCTGCCGCTCGTAATAAATTATGCGTCGTTGGGGATAGCTAAAAAGCTTAAAAGCTCAAAGTGTTGGTGAGGTCAGTGCGTACTATTCTCACTGGGGGCCGTCACGCACAAACGCTCCCTGTGCCCGTGGGACCCGTGCACTTAAATTCCGGCGCATCGTGGATCCGCGAGGGAACTCGTTGTGCATATATTTGTGAGTTTAGTATAAATTAGCCTGTTTCATGCTGTTTATTTCTCTCTTCGTTAAAACGGACACCAGACACCTAATTTGTCGCCCCACCCACCTCCCCGCAGCGATGGGACTCTCTCACGCCTTTAGCTCCAGTCCCTTCCCGCCTCCGGGCTCACCTCTTCCCATAACTCATCCCAACCTTGGGGCGTTGGGGAGTAGGGGCTCCCAGGGAGAATAAATTACTAGTCATGCGTGCAATTTTCAGGATATGTGGAAAAGAAAGTCAGCCAGGCCTACAACTAGTCGAACAGCTGGCTACGCCCCTGGATACTAAATGAATAACTACGTAAAACTCCACATACCCAGTTCCAAAACGGAAAGTCACGTATCCAGACTCATTAGTTCTTTCCTTAAACTTGATACAGGTCTTGCTTGACCATTCCTTGATAGCTGCTGCAATAGCTGCTTTTGCTTCAACTTCCCTTGCTATATCAAAGACGCTAAGAGTAAATATGACGTTACGTCTTTCTTTTCTAACACCGATTAGATTTTTGATATTCAATTACGTTAAATATTTAGGGGTTATCTAAATGGCTAATTTACCAGTCACCCGTGAGCTTTGCGTTCATGTCAATAAGAGGTATTATTATTCATTCAAAGTTTTTCACCGTTTCTGATTGGCACCGATCCCCGGCTAATTCTTCATAACAAACCGGCGCTGTCCAAATTTGGAAGATGCGAGTAATATGCCGTCCACTCGATGGTATATTTGAATGGAAACGAGGATGATCAATGGTATTTTTGATAGGAAATGAGGCTACATGAACAACATACCACGATCAACCTCGTTTCCAGGCGTGACCAACTGGCTGTTTATTCCCGAGTGAACTAAAAAAAATGACAAATGACGTTCACGGCTGATTCGAAGATCTTTACTCAGATAATTGCCAATAGCACAGGCTATCCGAACCGTATGGTCTTAAACACGGGCAAAGACGGGACTTCTTGGTGCAGGAGGTGTTAAGAGATAATTCACTAGGAAAGGGCAAAGCGACTTAATTATACTGGATCTTATAAAAAAGTGAAAGATCCATTGGTGTCCTTCGCCCTTACAGTGATGACCAATTGAGTTCGTAATGAAAAGACAAACTTGTGGATCTCTGATAGTTGTTACACACAGTCGAATCTTAGAACAGATTCAACAGTCGCAACTCCCCTTGTGGTATGAGATTGGGCGCACGAGAGTCTGATATGCACTTTCTTTAACTTTGGGTAGAGAAGCGTGAATGTTGTGTTGTAAGACAGTAAAAACACAATTTGCCTTAAACTTCTTATCTACTTCCTCACACTGCTTACGCCAGTTCAGCGAACTCGATACATGTACACCACGTTGCCTATGAAACCTGGCGCTTTCGATACTACATTACATAAATTATACGTGAAGTCAGATTGATTTAACGTTATACGTAAGAAAGTCTATGAGGAGGAAAGCTTGTTAAGAACTTAGAAATATTTTGAACGAATAATAAGACAATTATTGAATTCGGCTCTTGTATGATGTGTAGAATTGGTAGATCTCGGAAGCTGTTATCCACCTCGGCCTTTGTTTCAGTGGATAATAGTCTCCTTGATCTGCATAATTCTTCGTATCATACTCAGCCTTATGGAATAATTGCTAAGCATTTCTACCAAGAACCCAGTCGATGGTATATGGCACCACCCCATTTGGCCAGCGGAACAGGAAGTGAGCACCACGCGTCTCAGATCCACCGAGAATTTGAAGTCTCTGCTCGTTCGATAATATCATGTCACCTTCAAAGAGATTATTATTTTCTGAGGGGAGAAAAAGAGTAGGAATAGTGTTAAAACACAAAACGCTGCACCAACGTTCACTTCTCATTTACTACTACAGAGGACTAGAATAAATTTAATAAACTTTGTTTACACTTTTTTGTTGCACTGGATCGTCAAAAATAACCGAGGGTTAGCTGCGAATGCTGTGTTGCTAAATCTAAGCTTAATTAAAATATAAACAGTTTTTAAATCGACTTGTAGCTGAATGAGAACTAGCTATAAAGTATTTAATTAATTTCTGCAGTCTTTAAGAAATGACTGGTTAATGTATCCGATAACAGAGATTCCCCCAACATGACCCGTTTCTCCTTGCCTGTCACTTTTCTTAATGTATGTTGAAATTTGACTCCTTAGTATTAGTACAACTAAGTTAAAAGACTGTTTCAAAGGACATTTACTAGGTTTTGAGAAAGAAAACAAATAAAAACAATAGAAAAGTATGTTGAATCACAGAGAATAACATGGTCATGCCAAGATTACAAACCTTCAGGATTAAAGGAAAAGATTCCTACCACCGATAACGACAGAATTATAAACCAGAACATCACAGCAACCGCAGAAGATCGCCAGGAAACCTGCTTCAATGAAATCAGCTGCAAAGTAAAGCTTCGTCAGGTTCCAAACCGTTCTTTATCGTGTAATAAGCGCCGAGGGCCGGTGTTACACGAGTATGAAAAGGAATACTATTTGCTAATCACCACTCAACTAAAGCGGAGCTCCTTGAAAAGGTTTTTCTTCGCCAGCGGTAATAGGAATTGTTTTACTGTCTTCATCGATCGATTGGACAGCCTCAAAGGCTTCGGTTCCGTCCTATTTGTACAGCTAAACATCTGTTACAGAGATATTTGAGGATCGCAAAAATAAGCATTAAGTCTTGTATAAACGTTTTTAAGCGGTTTCAATTGATTCCTTTGTTGTCAAGTTATTAAAGTCACTGGTGGTATATTTCTGTGGAAAATTGTGTTTGCATATTAAATTAGTCATCCTTAAAACAAAAAGAAAGAGAGAGAGTCAACTTGGTACGGCTGCCAACAATACCTCATGGGATAAGTATATAGCGAAAAAAAATTTCAATATGATAGTAGACAATGATAAAAGAAGAGGAAGAAGAAGAAAAAAAAGGCATGAATAAAATCAAAGAGTTTCTCTGAACATTGAACTTGTTTATTAAGTAAAGCGCTTTCGCAAGTAAAAGCTTTTCTACCTGCGGCGTACAACAAACTGATGAAAAATGTTTCAACTGTTTAAACAGCTTCTTCCGGTGAAATTGAATCTTTCCGTTATAAAAAAAACAAGATCGCGCCTTGCTTTCTTTACTAACGTAACTTAAGGCACAAATATCGAAAACGCTACATTAGATACGCAACTTCTACAATTGCTTTTTCTTTTTTAAAAGCGGTTACGTGAGCCACCAGTGTACATAACCCCGACCTAAGATTGACCGGAAGTGAAGAGACGTGCGTAAAGAAGGTCCCAGCCAATTGTACTGAGAATACACCACAGGCGTTTTATTCATTAACTTTACAATAAATACAAGTATAAACGTTCTCTTTATTAAAAGATAGTAAGATCAACGAAGTATCAGTTATATAGGATTTATAAAACATGAAATCTTTTTTTCAAAAATATTTTCGAAAGATAACTACTCCGCCGAAAAATTCTTTGGACTACATCACACTACACACCCTCTCTGAAAGTGGCTCAGGTTTTAAAACTTTCGTATTTGAGGAAAACCCAAATAAATATAAATATACGCTTACAAAACAAGCTTTTGACATAAACAACGTCTTCAAATTTAAATTACCTGCTAAGGAATTCTTTCGATCAAAGAATACAATACGTACATGTGCTTCTGCTGTAAAAAGGAAAAATCACAAAAAACGTCGACAAAACCAGTCAAGCCTTGTTTTCTCCGTGAAAAAAAATTAAAAATTAAACGTACAAAAAAAAACCACTCAATTTTCACACGACCGTTTGATAGTTGCTTTTACCAGTCCTCACCATATACGGCCATCTGCGTACGCAGGATGCTGGGCAGAATACTCGTGACGTGCTAGACTTTCTTTGTAATTTGATTGAACTAGTTCCGCATTCGCAGTTCGATCCGCCTTACGATCTTCTGCTCTTTGGTCCATCTCTTTCCTGACATAAAAAGATTATGAGGACAACATGAAGCAACTGAAATTAGGAACAATTCACTACCTCTTCTTTTCAAAGGCTAAACTAGAACAAATGAGTGCGGTCAGACTAGTTCATGCTCGATTTCTGCAAAAAGAAATTTAGAGGAGTTGACTGACCCAGAAAGCTATATGCACGGCAAAATATGGTATAGACGGTATAGGGAGGTTTTTTCAAATCCAGTCCACATTCTTGGGATGCCCGTGTTCTGCGTACTAAGACTGATTTAGCACCAGGACGCAACGACTAACATGAGGATGCGTTGTTGTTTGGCCGTTATCAAGGACGGGAGTATTGGACCCGACGTCACCTGATACTCTGGATTTATAGCCTACGTTGCAGCTGGCCCACGCACTCGTCTAAACCATTTGTATAGTCTGTCTATACAGAAGGTTTAGGTTTAGAGTGTCTGCGACGCAGGCAATGGATTTAGCGCAAAATACAAAACGCGGACGCGAACTTCCGCGGACGCATAATTGTAAACATGGCTACAGCCTGTGACCTTCAAAGTGATCGAGACGTTTTACTGGTTTCTTATTTCGAAGATATCATGGATGACATGGAATTTACGGTTCTTTATGAAGAAAACTATCCAAGAGAAATATTTCCGCATCGGGAGTATGACAACTTGGACTTGGATGGTTGGGATGTAAAGTAATGTAAAATCGAGTGAAGATTTGACAAATCCGACCTTGGTGTATTGCTCCGCACATTAAAATTTCCCGATAGATTTGTTTGCTGGCAGAGGACGGTCTGCTATGGTATGGAAGGTCTTTGCATTTTGCTAAAAAGGCTTTCTTTTCCCTGTAGATACAGTCATATGGCGCTAAGGTTTGGAAGAAATCCAACGGAGTTATGCCTTATTGTTTATCACGTATTAGCCTTTGCTTACCGGACGGAACACTAACACCGTTTAAACTCTTGGAACCGACCTTTTCAAAGTCCACGAGCTATAGAACAGTATGCACAAAGTATCCATTCCCGTGGAGCACCACTAGCAAATTGATTTGGCTTCGTGGACGGTACCTTGTGCAAGATAGCTCAACCCAAGAAGAAGCAGAGTGAAGTTTACAACGGCTACAAACGTGTCCATGCATTGAAGTTAAAGCTAACGTATTTTAACTTTAAGGATGTTTTGAATTTGGAATCAGTGTTGTTTTCCTACCCCTTGCTTGGGAAATCATTCAAGTGCAGCAGTTTCTGTCCAGACAATCGGCGACTTAGAACACTTAGAGACAACAACTTTACTAGTAATTGTATTGATATATTTATTAAGTTTTGAAAATATACAAATAGTACCCATTCCAAATATTTAAACTTTTATTCGCTCATAACATCATAAACATTGGTGACAATAAATGCCAAGAAAAAGTATTTGAAACTACTGTAAATCATCTGTTAAGACCAAGGGGGATTATATATTTCGAGCACGTTTGAGGGGAGTGGGGCTAATTGAGAGTGAAGGCTTATTTGAAAGGGGGCTTATTTGATTTAGCAAAACCGGGCTCTATACTGCTTCTTCAAATAGCCAGAGAATGGAATCAATTCTCCTTAAAGAACTAGAATGCAAAGTCGAAAAGTTGAAACACAATGCCAAAAGGTAATGAAATAACATTTCAAAGAGCTGAACATCTGTTTTATAACACAAATCAATTATAACACTCACTTTTTCGGTGCATTTGCCATTGCTGAACTCGCCGTTCTCGACAAGACGCCAAAATACTCAATTCCACGTTCGCAACGCGACGCCACACTCTCAGGACGCGGGAATTTAACTTGTTACCGAGCCCTTTGACCGGGCGCGCCATCCTAAATGAAGGCTGGGTCCCGATGCTAAATCAGTCTAATATGTATGGTATGTGGCCGAGAAGGCCTTGGTGTTGAGTTTAAGGTCCACCTGATGTCACGATTATCGCGTGAATGCAAATGCAAGGAATGTAACTATATTTGTTCGATTCGAAAATGCACGTACTAAATTCAGGTATATACGTTATGTACTAAATGCAAGGCTTTTCGATTAACCTTACCGGCTGGAAACTTATTTACCAAGGTAAATGAAAGTAGAGCTTGATCTCAACTTAGTGCAGGACGAGTCTTCGGTAAGATACAAGTATTGCAATTAATCTAACCCAGGTTACGCTACAGTGCATGGTTTTTATTTAACAAATAAAGAAGCCTTGACTGTGTTCTGTTCTGTTGTGAAGCACGCAGGAAGCGTAGGGGGGAAACGACCTCTTTTCTCTGGCTGCTTCATGAGTACTATAGCCACTTCCTTAGTTCTTTACAATAGAACAGAGCACAGTCAAGCCTTCCTTATTTGTTTTATGATAAAGAATCCGTTAAATTGCCCACGCATCGCTTTCTAATTTTCAAAACCAGCTTAATTTTCAAAGCGAACCGGATTGTCCTCAGCACGTTCTACACTCTCATAAAACACGCTTAATTAGCCAATCACGATCCTTTTTAGAATGGGCAAATGATTTGATTGGTTGAATAAGGCAAAGGCAGTCAAAATATCAACCCTATCACTATTCACAAAGTGAAACGAGCGAGACGTTTTGTGAATGAATGCAGCAGAAATGTGCTTTTTACGTCGAAAAATCAGTTTCTAAAGGTAAAAAGTGCTTTCAAAACCGGCCGAATTGCGGCCAATTAGAACCAGGACGTCATTAACATGACAGTTCGAAAACAAACTGCTTCAGCTTCGTAACGAAGAGTGTTTAAAAACTATACCTGTAAGTAAAAATTCTTTAAAATTCGCCCACGTCTTCGCATAAGTTATGCTCTAGTCTTGCGATCGTATTTTGAGCTAATGCCATGAATGAATTTTTTAAAACTTTTTATTCAAAGCTAAGAAGTTAATCTAAAAGCAAGTAAAATCGGATGAGCACATAGCGAAATCTAACACAAAATCCATCTCAAATCGGGTTGTATTTTGTTTTTTTTCTTTAGTGTCGACGACAAAATTCATAAAACGTTTGTGAAACATTTATACATACATAAATTCCCTTTTAAAGACGTAATGTTCTTGATCATAGACTTAAAAATGTACATGGAAATTTCGCTGCCTTAGAATGAATTTCAAACAGGACATTTTACGCTCTCCCGTGAAGAAAACATCATTGAATTCCTTGCAGGACGATTCGTAACCAAAAGCTTTCCTTGTCCACAAGAAGAAAACTGAGCATTCATTTGAACTTTTCCCTTCCATTTGTGAAACTTTGGTCTTGAAAACCACCGCGGCATGGTGTGATCTTCAGATGGAGTGACAGCTTTAGCTCCGTGTTTTATACTCTCAAAAACCATGTTTTTTCAACCAATCAGAGGGCGCGTTATATCTGAACTTTGTTATAAATTTCTATACGTTTCTAAGCATGTTACATTGCTTGTCATCTGAAAGCTTCAGTAAGTCTTTTCGTGATTTTCTATAACATTTCGATGACCTTTGGTTTGGATATCCGATTGAATAATAATCCTTCACGGAGTCATGACTGTATACATTCCACGCTGATCGTTGTTTGTGTATCGCATTACTATTTTTATTGTACCTTTGCCTGCGAATACAGCCTTCTCTCCTCGCTTATCACCGTCCGCAGGCTAATTGTATCTAAGCCACTCTAAATAAATCGTTGAATTCAATACGAGTCTTGTTTACTGTGTTGTTCAATACATTTTCAACGTTCATGATCCGCCGTAATTCCTTTTGAGGTCTTTTGTTGACACTGAAACTAAAAGGGCTTTCTTCGATTCACGTACACAATTATGAAAGCGGTTCTCAACATCGATCACACCTTTAAGCTAAACCTACTTTTTCGCCCGCAACTCCCTAATCTTTGGTTACTGCTGCTAAGAATGATGATGATGATGATGATGATGATGATGATGATGATGATGATGGTGATGATGATGATGATGATGATGATGATGATGATGATGATGATGATGATGGTGGTGGTGGTGGTGGTGGTGATGATGATGATGATGATGATGATGATGGTGATGATGATGATGATGATGATGATGATGGTGATGATGATGGTGATGATGATGATGATGGTGATGGTGATGATGATGATGATGATGATGATGATGATGATGATGGTGATGGTGATGATGATGATGATGATGATGATGATGATGATGGTGGTGGTGATGATGATGATGATGATGATGATGATGATGATGATGATGATGATGAAGATGATGATGATAATAATAATAATACATCGAAGGACCTGAAAAAATATGACCATTAAAATCACTTACATTGCTTTATTCTTTACATTTTCTTCAGAGCCAGCGGCTAGAATATGAACATGTATGGTGGAAATGACAAATGGTGTTCCATACATGACAGCCTGACCAGAGTTGTAGTAATCAACAGCTCTTCGCACTGAAGCGATGTCCGTAAAAAGGACCCAAGCCAAACCATTTGGCTTTCTTAAAACTTGATCCTAAAGAGCCAGAAACGAGATTACAGAATAAATTAAATACGCCAACAACTTCAGATACCATATTATTTGTAGTGAGTTTCCGTATATGAATCAAAATTGCAACGGAAAGGTACACAGAAAACTGACCACTGAATATCAGACTATTAGGCTAATTGATTGGCTGGATGACTGGAAGGTTGACTAACCGATTGACACGACGATAGACTTCACTAAAGACTGACTGATTGCTTCACTGCATTACTGGATATTTGATTTGATTTGATATTTGACAACCCGACTATATGACTGACCGACTGCCTGACTGACTGAACTGCTGACTGTCGAACTAACATAATGTTTGTCTGACTGACTGACTGACTTACTGTCCGTCTCACTGAGTACTTTGAATGACTGACTGTTTGTCTGACCTGCTCTGTCTGACCGACTGATTGGTCGACTGACTTGACTGACTGAAGATCGGACTCACCAACAGCCTGCCTACCCGACTACTGGCTTGGCATGACTGAGATTGACTCATTATTTGACAGCTTCAAATGGTTTAGTATTTATGAACGAAAAGTGCCAACTTTCACCATTCCTAGCTCTTCTTCAGAGGGAGCCGGTATGTACAATAAAAAAGGTTATTTCAGCATTTTTTTTTTTGACATCTTGATGTACCAAGTCTGGGGGGTCTGAATAACTGACAGTGACTGACTTATAGACTGAGTGACTCAGTGGAAAGCGTCGAACGCACTTCCAAATAAATCAAACGAAAGCTAAACCCACCCCAAACGCGTAGCCGTGAATACCAACCTTAAGTAGGTACACTTCCTTGACATTACAGTCAGCATCATTATCTAACAACCCTTCCAGCTTCTCGGCAGTTACACTCAGTGGAAGGTTACTGACATAAACTGCGCATTCTCTCTGTGACGCAAGCTGCAGCCAGGCAGGTGCGTCTTTGTCGGCGCTGATAACTAGGTTCCAATCTCTTTGACTCATCTCTGTAGAGTCCAATTTAGGGTGGGTCAATACCGCTGACATTTTGAGCGCGTCTTGCAGTGTTAAGGTTCTGCGGTGCTTTGAGCTGTAATCTGTCAATATAGCCTGACTGTCTAGGTTCGGTCCCAGTTCACCTGGTTCACCACCAAGTCCCGTCAGGTTGATTGACAGGTTTGATGGAAGATGACTACAGTCTGGTGCGGATCCTTCACTGTTTTGCAAATCAAATCCTGCAAATTGGTGGACACAATACATGTTATGTCTGAACTGTCCATTAACCCTTTCACTGCCACAGCCGCTATAGCTCACTTTGAAAAAGAGTCGTTGCCTGAGCCGAACGTGCCAGTTAATACACTAGCGGAATTGCTGGGGGAACGTGAAAGCCAAGATCAGGGAACTCACACTGCTATACAAAGTATTTTCAAAACGCGGAAGTCAAGACAGAGTTGAAATATATCCTGGTGTTTGTTTTACTGTTTCTTCATTGATCTGGAGCAACCAAAATACGAATATATTACACAGATATATCCTAATCCAACAAGCTGCTTATTAAAACGACAAGATTAACCGCAGGTTACTGTCAAACTCAGAAAACAATGAACACCTGAAAAATATCAGGAATGTTGATTGTGTACTGCCCAATCACAATAAAGTTCAGGATACGCAAGCAAACCTCAAAACCACCAGTTAGTTACCGTTGCTGTTTGCGGTTTAGTTATCTCGCGCCTTATTGGCTTATTTCTCGCAACACAATACCATCCCACAAATATTTCTGGTGTTCACGGTTTTGTGAGTGTCACAGTAAAATTTAACCCAGGTTTAACCTATAATCCGGGTTTCTTTTCCTCTAGTGTTCAAAGGTATTTTCTCAGATAATTTTCTTTCTTGAACTTTCTTTTCAGCTTTCACATCTGAATTCAAATTTCGCACAAAAGTTATCTTACCGCAGCTCTGAACGACCCGGCCTAGGCTATCACTCTTTTCCAAAGTGAGTCACAGAAGCTATGAAATTGTTGTAACTTTCAAGTCTGAGCGCGAAATTCTTTACTGACACCATTCAAATACAACCTTTTCGTGTAGTGTGTTACGTGAGTTGTTTTTAGACATGTTGAACAAGGCTTGAGCCGAACGACCGCGCAAAACATGTTTTTGTGACCACCCCTCGTTCTAAAAAGCACACTAGTCTCGGTTTTCAAGAACGTAGTTATTTTTCACTGGGTTCCTGTGTCAACCTTTTTTGTTACATCCATGTAATATATAGTTGTCGCCGTTTCTAAGGTATTGGTGGAGATACTCTCCCACTAAGTGGAATAACCACACAGCTTACCGATATGAATTTGTGTCAGTGTCAGCTAAAGAGCAAATTTAATTCGCCTTACTTGTGCAAACATGTACCTAAAGTCATGGCAACTTGTTCCATTATCTCATCCATGTCTTCCTCCCCTAAAGGCTGCTGTTGGTTTCTGAGATTCAGTATTCTCAGCTGTGAAGCGGGACAGATAATGCCAACCAAAGCCAGAATTCCAGCTTTTCCAATACAGTTGTCTGCCAGTGATAAACTCTTCATGTTTCTTAGTTTGTTGGATGAGATGGCTCCAGCTAGTTTCTCGGCTCCACCATTTCGGATCTAATAAAATAAAGCAATCATATTCTCGAGTAACAGCGTAGATGGTATGCAAACAGCACTATAAAAACAAGGCTTTTCAATCTGGTTGACTCCCTGACCTCACGTTAAAGGCGGATCCCATAATAGTGTTTCTGTTGTCCCGGTCTTGGATGCCACAGTGGAAAGAATCGAACTTCCTCGTGTCAGTTTATTGGCAAAACAAACACACACTCAAACAAATAAGTTTGACGTTTGATTTTAGATTTTTAAAAAAATTGCCCACTAGGTTAATTAATAAGAAAGGTTATGCCTTGCACAGCTCCAATCAGTATCCTTTCACAAAAAGAGTTTCTCTTCTTTTACTCTTAATATGCACTTTAACAGTATCGGTGGGCCAGAGTCGTCCTTGAAAACCTTCATGGGAGAAAAATCATCATCTGTGAGTTACTCTTACCACGGATCAAACTCAAATTTTATTTCGAGTTTATAAGGGTGAAACCTTCCACCCCCTTAGCCTGTATATAGGAAAAAACTTAGAAGAACAGACCTTGTTTATAGAAAGATCAAGCGTTTGAAGAGAAAGAGTCGTTCCAGGTGACTGATCTATCAAGTAGTCTACTGCTGTATCTGTGAGCCGGTTGGCAGAGAGTCTTACTTCTTTAATGAGCACTCCATTTCCGGCGGCGATAGCACACATCAATGGTTTGACATCTCTGTCATTTAATCCACAGCCAGTAAGAGACAGCAACTCAAGACTTCCGCAGGGAATTGTAGGTAAAAATGTATCTGCCGACAATCCAAGAATGCTCCTCAAGGAGTCAGTACCAGAAAGTTTGATTCCATCCAAAGTCAAGGCCGATATTTGCAAAGAATCTGGAGATCCCAAGGCGATGAACTTAGAAAGATCCACCAAACTCGGCGGGGTTATTCTGCATTTCTTTAGCAACAAACTTTTCAAATTTTTAAGTTCTGGTAGCTTTTCCATGTCCACAGCTATACCATCAGCACTGTTCAATGAGAAGTCTAACGTAGATAAATGACTTGGACCTGTAAATCAATAATTAGAATTATATACCCGGCACATTAAATGAATAAATAGGTGTCGTTAATGACCACATTGAAAGCTTTTGGGGCCTTTATTGTCCTCCTTTCCCGGCGAGCTTCAGCGTTTCCTCCATGAATTTAACTTTCAGGTAGCTCTATCAAGCGTCCTCCATGTTAGTCAAACTTGAAGTCCTCAACAGTTCATTTGCTAAGACGAGTTTATCCGTTTGAAAAAAAATGTAAAAATGTGTGTGTTTTTTGTTTAAAATTATGCTCGATTAAGAGGATCTTCAGTTGGTAACAGCTTTTTGACAGGGGTGTGGCGGTATGGTTTGGGGCGGGGGGGGTTGGATCCATGCAGGCATTACTGTTGGGTGAAGTGATTACACATAATTTTGGTATCACAGTTTATTGTACATACCTGCAGATACGTACGGCTGACCTGAGTTGCTCTGTATGTTGTGGTTCAATTCTATTCTTGGTTTAAAGTTTCACTTTCTTTTGTTTAAGAATCATTATCGTATATTACCATACCAAAAACCAAAAGAAGAGAAAATTTAAACAAAGAATAAAATTGAATCACAACGTTTACGTTAATTTTTTGGTCGGGTAGTTAAGAAGTCTACACTTCCATTTTATAACCCGACCTTTTCAGAGCTTGTATGGTCGATAAAGATCCCTCAAATTAATTTATCTAAAGCAGCAAAAACGATTGCTAAGAAACACCGACCTGCGAGAGATATCAAGGTGCAAATACTCGATAGACACTCGGAAGATAGTTGGTCATTGCTGGAGAGATCCAAGTCACAGAGTCGTTTGAGTTTTCCTGGAATCTTCTCTGATAAAGTTTGCAATGCCTTGTTAGTCAGCGAACAGCCAGACAGAAGTAACTTGGTAACACTGGAGTTACCTTCCATCGAAGGGGAATCTATATTAGACGTCAAAATAAAACGATAAAAACATCGCAAATGTATAATGCTCCTTTCTACACAATTTAACTTCCTAGGGTCCCTTTGCTAGTTATGCAAGACAAAAAAATGGAATGACTTTCAATTCCTTGATCAATGATTATGTATACCTAACTTTAAGACAACGCTATAAAGATAAGTTACTACAAAGATGAGCTAACAGCACTCACAAAGCTGGACAGACCTAATGGTTTCCACTCATCATGCTGATCAGTAACTTTGGTGCCATTAAGGACCAGCTCCTCTAGATTGGAATGGAAAATGCAGCTAAACAAAAAGTCCATTAAAAACGAAAGACCAGAAACCTGAAATTAAATTTGAAAATGAAAGGCATGAAGACTCAACTATAATTATGTACACGATATCTTTATCGACAGTAAACAAATTGACCGTAAATGCTAGGATGAGCACAAACATTGTTGTGTGAATAAGCATTTAAAGGCATCACAGGCATCAGACTGTTGAATGTACACTTTATTAGGCCAAAATTTCAAGTACTTTGAAGGCCTTGAAATCAAACTCCCCAAATTAAAGTGTCTTCACCTTAAGTTTTCAACATACAGACGAACCCTGATTGATACAGAAATATCAATAAGCACCCTATTTAAATTAGACCCCCCTCCCTCTTTGGGACAGAAAATTTAATGACAGGCTAGTCACTAATCTGAGCATTTTTAGAGAACCCAAATTTACCTTGTTTCCTGCAACATTTAAACTGACAAGAGAGCCGTTGTGTTGTATTCCTGCTAACAAAGAAGCCATTCCTTCTTCCCCTAAATTAGTTCCATGAACATCAAGATGCTGTAAACAGCACCCCTCCTTCTGTAAAGGTTAATACAATTCATACATTCATTTTGAAAATTCAACTTACAGCCACCAGTTTCTACTAATCTGCAGACATTAATACATATAAACTGCTAAACTACAACATGAACGATATTTAGGTTAGAAGGATTAAGGTACATAAAATACAACAAGGTTAACTTTAGAGTTTAGACTGTTGTGATGGTTTTGAAGACAAATCATTGGGTTATTTTGAATAGGCACTCAACTTTTGCTACAGTTGCTGTAGATATTTTAGTAGTACACTTTGATCTGCACGGATGAGAAATCATTAAGGTTTAAGCATAGATTAATGATGACTGACTTAAAAATAATTTGTTTACAATAACCTGCAAGATTCTTGACAAACCATCACCAAATGCAGCTCCAAAGTGATTATTACTGGCATCAAGTACTGCAATTCTTGCATTTCCCTCACACAGAGCTTCAAGAATAGCAGAAGCATCAGTTGAGCCACAACTGGAAAACTTCAAAGTCTTCAAAGACTTGTTTTTCATCAGTGCTGGTCCAACACAGCGTGAGAAATAGTCATTTCCGAGAGCATTTCCAGAAACATCCAGACTCTCTAAGCAACAGTTACTTGATAACATGATCCCTATGCATTCCTGTATTGAAACCATTTTGGCAGAAAAGGGACTAAAAATTAACATTGATACTCAACTACAGTCAACTCTTCCTTTGCGGACACTCTGCTATAACGGATACCCTGATAATATGGACAGCAGCTCAATCCCAGGCAAAAATAAATTATAGTCGTTTGACTGAAATAGACTCCCGCTATTGCAGACTCTTACTAATGAGGACACCAACTGGAGGTCCCTAGTGCCCGCTTTAACCCCTTAAGCCCTAAGAGTGATCCGGAGAATCAAATTTCTCCTTGTAATTTCAATGCTTTGTAAAACAGAGTGGTCATGAGAAGACAGGATCACACAAGATGCATTTTCTTGATATTTTATCAACTTCTCCATACTACTTCTGTAGGAAATGAATAGGGGCAACAAATGATAATTCGAATAGTTGTAATATGGCTAACTATGAGTGTTAACATACTACAATACAAAATCTGCTGACATAACTCTTTAACCTTTTCACTCTGAATAGGGGCTGAAGTGGAAAAAAGGCACCAAAATTCCAAACTTTATTTTGTAAAATCCTAAGAAATAAGTAGCACTATGCAGAAGTTCTACCAAAAAGGTTTCACTTGAATGTTAACACCATAGGATTTCCTATTTTTCTAACCTAGAACCAAGTGGCCACCATTTCTGGGAAGCAGACACGAAAAACGTTATGCACACGAGTGAAGACTGGGATGTCCAAGAAGAAAGAAAGTGCCTACCCAAGGGTTTTGCAATTTTATACCATAGGCTGCACTGTTATTTAACATGGGGGTTGGCAAATGACTCTGGCAGACTCTTAGGCAGCACTCATGGCTCTCGTTTGCACCCCAGCCATGTAGATTAAGCTTATAAATCACTGGTTTCAGTGCCCAGGACACCAGGATCCAACCTCCCTCCATGCATCCCTATGGCTATATACTTTTACCACGTTGAGTTGTGTGCAATACTTACAGAACTGTCAGTGTCTGCCAAATTATTTGCCAAATTGAGAGTCATCAATGTTTTATTCCTGCAGAGAGCCAAACAGATAACACGGAATCCTTGAGGTCCAAGTAGATTTCCCGACAAGTCAAGTTCAGACAAGTTAGGAAGTTTCTGTAATAACTTGGTAACACTAACTTCTCCTGGTGATAGAGAGCGCATCAAATGAAGAGACATTACACTTGCAGTATCAAGATCTTTAACAAGATTCCCAGGGGATAATTTACAAGAGAGCCTCAGTGCTAAAATAAGCCTGTTTTCTGCATTAATATCTCTGTATGTTGGTACTTCCTCTACATGTGGGTTGCTTGATAACTGTGGGATTTTCTGACTAGTCACATTGTCTGTCAAAATTTCTTTTTTATTTCCTGGTTCCAAATTCTCCCTTGATGATTTAACCAACTGAACTATGTTTTTTTCCTCATCTCCATCAAACCTTGACATCAAAATATTTCCTTCTTTCTCAGCAGAGAACTGTTTTACCAACTTAGTATGGCCACAAACAGATCCAGACGATGTGTTTTGCAAGTGACTTCCCACGTCTGACTCCAAAGACATGTGTTTAATGACAGTTTCATGAGTGCTCTCTGGTGATGTTTCTCCCAAAGACAGAGAAGAGTTCTCACTTATTACCATACTTTTATCCCACTCCACTTCAACATGAGTTACAATTTTGTCTAACTGGTTATCAACAGCTGGCAGAACAACTTCATCTTTAACACCAATAAATTCCTGGTTAGAATCAACAGGAGGAGGAGGTAGAGTTTTACAAGTAGAATTACTGTTAGTATCTGTGGATGTTTGAAGTCCAACATTCAAAGAAGTACTCGATGTAGGGTGATCTGAAACTCTAACAAGGTCTGCTGTCATTTTATCATTTTGAACAGCTGATATTTCAGAAGAGTTTTCACCAATGATACAGGTATCTGTATTTTCCTCTCCACATTTCTGTAGGATTGACATCACCATAGTCAACTCTGCAGAGCCAGTTTCCATCTGTTTGTGCAGATTTGTTTCATGCTCATCCAAGCCCAATTCATTCACATCATTCTTGGTCACTAAATTTTCACTTTGATTCTGAGTGCTTGATATCCTTTTCCTTTCTAAAGTGTTTGACTTATTGTCCTCATTGATAAGTTCTTTCTCTTCAGGGTCTTTACTCACAGAATTGTGATTTTCTTTCTCCCCCAATTCATGAGTGAAAAATATTGTCTCTGTTTTATCTTGAAAGGCGATTTCCACTCTGCCTGAGAGATTCTTCCCATCTTCATCTATAACTAAATCTTTTCTTTCATTTTCAACCCTGGCTGTATTATTTGCACCGTCCGTCGGACATGCTTTCTCCACATGGTTATCACTGACACTGTAGATATCACTCTCATTAGGTCTATGGCTGGAAGACATTGAAACTGCAGTGTCATTTGAAGTTGTATGCAATGCTGACATGTTCAAATCTCTGCAAATATCTGAGTCTTTCTGGACTGCTCCATCATTAGCAACTTTTTTCTCACTGTTATCACTCGCGTGACTAGATACCTCATGTGATTCCTCCAAATCCTTCCCAGTACTGCTAGCTTTGGTGGCATTTTTACTGGATGTATCTATAGCAGAAACAAAGCCTTTATTGTCCTCCTTTTCAGTTTTAGCTTTATTAATATCTCCTGATGCTGACTTTAATTCAATTTCGACAGTTCTGTTTCCTTGTGACTGAATTGAATTACTATGGCCCTGTAAACTATTCTCTCCGAAACTAACCGCAGTATTGTTCAAATTATTGTGATGATCACTAGCAGCCTCATTGCCGTTATTAACAGTAACTAGATGATGAGTGCTTGATCCACATCCCATGTTAACACACCTGTAAATAAATAAGATTTTACAAAATTCTAAATATTATCTCATGATCATTGTTTTCCTTCAAATAAAACCTCCAAAATACGGTTTCAAAAAAGAAAGCGAAATAACGATTTTCTTTAATATTTAGTTAGCCTGCATGGCTGGCAGGACTGTTAGTGGGAGCAAAGTTTTGGCAGAGGTGCTGCAAAGACATGCAGAAAATGACACTTTGCCACTTCTCAACATGGCCACTTTACCATCTAAACTCTCACATGCTCAAAAACAAATCCACCACCTACACTGGCTAAATATTTAGTTTTAAAAGAATTCCATTGAAATCAAGGTAGTGATGTGGCTAAAGATACCCCCCCCCCCACCTACGTACACTACACCAACGCTCTTGTTGCATTTATACGACGCCA